CACCATGAAAGGAGACGTAAGCAGAGGAAACAGGTGCAGTGGAGTGGAGCTAGGCATTGTGGGAGCATTTGGCGGACGAGTGCAGGGGCAGAAACGTCACCTCTCTGCCCTGGACTGTTCATTCACAGAGGTACTGTCGGAGTCAGAGGTGCCAAACGTCCAGTCTGCGGGGGTCAGAGGGCGACACTGAGGAGAGCTGGTTCAAAGCCAGAGGGAGGGAGAGGTGGGAAGAAATAAAGATGGAGAGAAACAATAAACCTTGAGAGAGTCTGCTCCTCCAAACATATTTTACATATCAGGCGTTGCAGACTCCGAGGTGTGACGCACGCACCAGCGGCGTCTGTCCCTCGCTCTCCTTTTACGCAGACGTCGACTCTGTGGTTAGGTATGTGTAAGGACGATAGAAGGGATCAGTGAGGTACAGAGAGGGCGGGTGAGGCACACGAGAGGAGATAGAAAGGAAAGTGGTTGCATCTCCCGACAACATCCAGTATTAAAATGCCGCTCTGCTGGGACTCAATCCCCCGGTTCCCCCTTTCATCTTGGTTCTCTTATCACCACAAAACCCTGCCTTGACCCAGCTGGTATCATTTCTGCTGCTCTCATGTTTTTATGCCCTGGGATACAGGAGAGGCTCAGAGGCACATAGCCCTGTATATATAAAGATATATGTGCATGCTCAGGCTTTATAGAGAAGAAGATAAGCTTGTGTTTACGTTGAAGAGTTTCATTTTCTGCAGAAAACCACAAGACAACATGGAGAACAGAATTCATCAGTAAGAAGAGATTTGCATGATTAGGAGTGCGATCCACGATTAGTTCTCTGACAGACACAGATTTCCCACTGAGAGAACAATCAGTTGATGCTTCAGTCCTCAAAGGATCCAAAAAATAAAGAAACAGTATTTACACAGAGCACCAGCGCTGGGATGTGATTGAGTTACAGATGTTTGTTCTTTTGAAGGTTTACAACAGCTGGAATACTCCACTCACAGTCTCCTCTTTAAAATCTCAGTGTTACTGCAGTGGTAAAGAAGTTAGCATGTTCTATAATGTAAGTACACTTCATCTTATTCACGATTATTAATATTCTGTAGGCAAAGGTTTGTTTATTCAGTTAATAATGAAAGTACAGATCGTGCACAGCTCAAGACAATAACAATAAATTGAAATATTAAGTATTGGTAAGAGAATAAAGTAGGAAACTTTGTAAAACAATACAAGAAGCTCCGGGTTTTAAAACTTGTTTCGCAGTAACCACGGTTGAATTTATGATCAACACGAGGGACACTCGCTCTCATCATCTCATAAACTTTCTCATTAATGTCATCAGCTGTCGACAGAAGATCTGCTGCCGGAGCTCTGTGAGGCTGCACCTGAGCTCAATGCTAATGTCAGAGCGTGGTGACGGTGTGCACATACTGATACTGAGCAGCTGTCCTGTATCCTAGCGTGGGTCGCTAGCATGTGTAGTTTTGGTAAACATGGTGATCCATCAAAACACCAGAATCATCAGGGTTCATCCTCTTTTGTAGAAAAAAGAGACCTACATGGAAAAACTGCCGCCACATGTAGGTAGTGAGCAGAAGTCGCCCGGTTCACGGCTCCAGATCTCCCAGACCCTGCTGATGACGGCAGCAGTGTGTGGCCCCTCGACATGGAGGGAGAGGAGCGGTGCTTTAATCTCCGGAGAGGGGGAAGAGAATGGGAGAGGGGAGCGAGGGAGAGGAAGAGAATGGGAGAGGTAATCTCAGCGGAACGGCGAATGCCATGTGGGCCCGCAGGTAATGTATGACTTCCTGTGGTAATCGGCGTAATGAAGCTGGGAGCTGGTTGGGAGCGAGGCGTCCGCCGTCACTTCGGCTGCCCAGTGAGGCCCGGAGAGCCGCCGCAAATGAGCCCAGAGGTGGAGATGGAGTGGATTGTGTGTGGGGGGAGGGGGGGGCAGGATGAGGGCGGCTGAGGGATATTTTGGTCAGAGGGGCAGAGAGCAGAGGAAGAGAAGCTGTGTGTGTGATAAATGCTTCATTTCTGTGCTGCCGATGAGCCGAGCACAGACAAAATGGATGTTCGCGTGTCTCCGTCCTGTATTTTAAAGCCACATCTATCTGCACCACCTTTACTGGAGCTGGTCGATAAGTGAGTGTGTATCACTGGCTCCATACACGGTTAAAGCATGAGAACATATTGGCTATTGAACATCCACTTATCTTATCACGTTGTTTCTCTCTGTCCTCAAGCCTGAATGTAGGCGGGTTGTTTCCATAGGGTTTTATGTAAATGAGGTCACTACATACAACATGGGTTTGTGCTCGTAATATCTTCTTTTTCAGTTAGCGTCCAAACAGAGACAGAAACCCACTGTGGCAGCTCCAGCTCCTCTTTAGCTCTCGAGGTCAGTTTAAGACCAAATGTGATAAGTGGAGCATAATTAACTGCACTGCTTCAGTAGTACACACACAAACACACACAAACTCCTCCAACGTGACCCATACAACCATTTCAAACATGGGAGATAAAACATGACCGCTGCTTAGATCAGATACTCAGATATCTACTTCATTGATCCGGAGGGAAATAAAAGGTATGGAGTAGATTATAAGAAGAGAGACTTGTAAAGTACACTTCACTAGAACTTGGTGTTTTACTCTGTTGCTGCATTGTGTAACTGTGTTCAGTGCTATTTACAGCACCCGTAAAGTTTTTACCATCCACGCAGTCAGTCAGGCCCCAATCTGTCAGGTTTTTAAGCGTAATCCTGCAAAATAACAAACATCCTTGGTGGAGATAATAAAAGTAAAATGTTCAGCAGCAGAATGAAAGTGAGCGTTCAGTGACCATCGCACCGCCACCGCTGCTGGGAGGCGTTTAAGAGTCTCACGGCCCGTGGGATAAAAGACTTCCTCCGATTTTCTGTTTTGTTTCTTGCAGCAGAGGCACAAGCTACAGACTCATATCCACTCTGACATATTATCTCATTATGAAGTCGTTAAGCGATCGTGTTGCCTACTTAAATATTCAGCAGATGTGGAGCAACATTAGAAACCACTTGAGGTCGTCAGAGGAATAAAAGATCATTAACGGCTAAATATTCGTTCACCATCAGTGGTTAACGGCTGTTTGGTGCAGGTAGTGCTGAGATGGTTTATTTAATCAAATGTAATAACAGTCTTCAGGCAGCTGTCGGGTGACTGGCACAGCTCTGCTTGATCAAACAGCCGTGTTTGACCACACATGCATTTTCCTCCCTGTGCGACTCTTCCTCTGTGGTGTTTTTGGCTGCACGTGCACACGAGTGTGGTTGCGTGCGCGCCTGTGCTCGTGGGAGTGTGCATTCTGTTAGAGCCAGCAAGGAAAGAAAGAGCTGTAGATTGGCTCAGGCTTTATTCCCCCTCTCTCTTGAAACACAAGGAAAAAAGCACAGTGGAGGAAGGGAGCAGATGAAAATAGCTCAGTAGGCAATCGCTGACTCACAAGGCAACGCTGGGAGTCAGGAAGGCATCCATTCCCGCATACATCACATCAACTCTGGCTGTTGTGTAACTCTCTCCGCACCCGTAAATCAAACTGTTCTCGGCGAGCTTGACTTTTGTGCAAACGTCTCCTCCGTGGCGGCATAAAAAGAGGGCCGTGACATCACAGGTGCCATTTATCACGTCTGACAGCGCTGCCTCGAGTGTTCGGGGCAGGGGAGGGAGGCCGAGGCCAGTTGGCTGTTACCCGGCCCATTCATCACGCCAGTCAAGGAGCGTAGGCTGTCAATGCTCATGTTTTGTGAAATGAAACACGACCGTGAACCAGGTTGATATGTAAATTTCAGCCCGGTTAATGAATCAGTACATGTTACTCATACGCTCAAAGAGGAACTCAGACAAACACAAAAGGAGTGTGATGCTTCAAACGTAGGCTGTGGGAATATCTGCCAGAGAGAAATGAAAGTTCAGGATATCCTGGTTATATGTTTGCACCATAGGGCGTCTCCATCCGGGTGCCTCCATCTTACGTCTTCATCCTCAGGATTTGCTTCTTTTTCACTACTTCCTGATATCTTATTTAATACTACAGAACAATCAATCAAATATCTGCAGATTGATTAATTGATACTGAAAATTACTTATTGCGTTTGCCTGCTCAAGTTTTATTTATGTATTTGTTTATTTGACGCATAAAGGATTTTCTAGCTGAGGCTAATTTGCAATCTCTGTCCCTGGAAGTAAAAAAAAGGATTTAATAATAAACAAACTTTGTTCATCTCCACGTTAGTTCTCTAGTTGTTTTTGCTCCTTTATAACTAATTTGTGGTCATTTTGTGTTTTTGCGTCACATCTATAGTCGACATTTGTTGTTTCTGAGGTTTTTTTTCTGTCTATTTGTCGCTGCTTTGTTTGTCTCTGTTGTTTGACTGAATTTCCAACAGCAAAAGTTAACAGCAGCTCGGAATGATGCGCTGAAGGTAAAGTCTGATTCAGCAGAAGTAAAAAGCGCTTAATAGCAGAAAAGGTCAAATACAATAAATATTATACTATATTTAATTCTGTGAAACAAAGGGTGCAGTGTAGTATTGGAGGATGAGAGTGTAACTGTGTGGGATCATGTACGTTATTGCACATTTTCCAGAGGTGAGTGAGAAAACTGAAGCGTGACTAACTGGATGATTGTGTCTGAGACATGAGGAGGTGCTGGGTCATGTTGAATTTTCACAGTGAGTAACAGCGTCCCTCAGTCGTCCTGCTCTGCGTCTCTGTTCCCACTTTGCCTCTGAATATTTCAGGTTGGTTGTTCCAACCATCCGACTGCTCTGTGTCCAAAACTGCTTTGTTCTCTGTCGTTTGTGGCAAGAAGCTGCGTGCTTGATGGTTTTTAGGACGGCTGCGGTAAGACTCCGAACGAAACGGTTATTTTTGGTGGGTACATGTAATTGAATGGAAACAATCTGGCGATTAATAATAAATCAGAGAATCTCTGTCTGTGTCTGTGTCCTCAGGTTGAGGCTCTGAGTGATGCAGTCTCTGTTTGGAGGCGGGGAGCTGGAGCTGCTGGGGGGAGGCGGCGACGCAGGGGGCCTGAAGGAGGATGGCTGTGGCAGCGTGGTGTGGCGCTCCTCACCCCTGCCCCCCGAAGACGTCTACTCGGCCTCCCACTTCGCCCTCATCACGGCCTATCAGGACATCAAGACGAGGCTGGCCTGCCTGGAGCGGGAGAACACCAGCATCAAGAGGAAGCTCAAGATCTATGAGATCAAGGTGAGTGTTTGGTTTTTCAGTTTTGCATCCGTCACGTGTTAGAGACATTATCAACGCGCCCACTCATTCACGGTGAATCCTATGGTTAATTTCCTACTGTGTTCTCACATGAGCTCATTCGGACATTATCTAGAGTTTTACTATGGGAGAAACTCCTGAGAATGTCCGCAGCAACAGACATCTGTGTTCTCATGTACAGCCCCTCCGGATAAATCCAGCAGATGATCAGGAGTTCAGTGAAGGTGTGAAAGCAGCTCATGTTTGCATTTTTAGCACTGCTAGGTCTATTCAAAGATTTTTTAAAGTTAGCGTTATTTAAATATATCATTTATTTAGGATTCCAGCACATCATTACCGACATTCACAGGCCTCGCCCACTATTACTTGGACCAGAGTGCTTTTCTCTTGCCCTTGATGTATTGTTCATATTAACGTTTTCACCACCTACTGGCCCAGCACCTGTTTGAGCACTTGTCGTAGTTTTGTGTGTTCTCGTGTCGACGGAGATATTTTGCAAAACAAATGCAGTGTGGATGGAGATTTTTGTTTTTAAATGAAGGGGAAAATATCTGTTCGAAAAATGTCAGCATTAGTGTCGACAAGGCCTGAAAGTCTTAAAGAGTTGTTTTTGTCCTTGTTAAAACACAGAAGATCCAGCTCCCATCAACAACGAGGTCAGTTTGTTTTTTTTTTTAAATTGATCTGAAGAGAATCAAAGGACGAGAGCGTCGTCCACTCAGCCTCTGCACTTTCCATTTTTATTGATGCAGCATCTGTACACAGAGATAAAAGGCAGGAAAGCGTCTGTGAGCTTTGATCCTTGAGCAGCGGGGGAATAAAGTTGACTCCAAAAGAAACGTTTCAATTCATGTTTAAATATAAATATGTAATATTGCCTGAGTTTGACCCGTTTTACACCTGGTATCAACCTGTGATTTATGATGAGGAGAGATCACAGGCTTTTGTATAAGTATCAGTAGTTTTAAACATAGTGAGATTTAAATATTAAGACAACTAACAATTATTTTCAATATAAATCTACTGATTATTTCATTTTGTTCATGAATCAATTGGTTTTTTTAAAATAAAATGTGAGGAAATAGTGTGTGTGTGGGGGGGGGGCATAAAGGAAACAGCGTGGGAGGACAGAGCAGAAAGACGTGGAAAGAGGGATGTGAGAGAGAAATGAGTTAAAGTGCTGAAACTAAGAACAGAGGAGGATTAAAAATAATAAAAAATCTCCTCCCGGACTTTCTCTTCTCATCATTAGTCTGTGGTGTTCTACTTTTCTAGGAATTATACGGCTCTGAAGCTGTAATGTACCCGTCGTCTTATTTTCACTTGAGGTGCACATGAGCGCTGAGGAAGAGGATTCCAGAATGATGCAAGCTGTTGGTCTACAAGGGATCACGTTGGCAGGGAAACTGAATCTTCTGTGATGTTAGTGTCTCTGTTTAAACTGTAGCTCCACGCTGCTTTGATTCTCGGGGACTGACATAAAAATCAAATACTCGACGCCGATGAAACCTGCAAACTGATGGAAATGCGTTTTGACTGCGTCTTTCCTCTCCTGACAAATGTGTTGTGCAGAAATCCAGCGTCGCTTCTAGTGAACAGCTGTTACCGGAGGCGGGCTTGCACGGTGCGTTCAGGGTCCCGTTGAGACAGGTGTTGATTTTTGGAGAATGGGTGCAGATGTTGGCTGTTTGGAGTAGGAGTTGTCACACCTGTGCCTTTGTCAACACAGCATGTGCCTGTTTTTAGATTCGGATAATCAATGTGGACAATACGGACATCACAATATTGACTCCTGACACGTCCACATGTCCTTGTGTGACAAGAAAACATTCCTTTGCTTTTTCTGTTTCTGCAGACAAACTCTAAATACAAGCGTACGGCTGCTGTAACGGTGCAGATGGAAATGCTTGAAGCGAGGTTGCTCTCTGGTTCTTGAAGCTCGGCGGTGTGAGAGTTCTTCGGCCCGCCCCCCCCCGGGGCCTGCGTTTGCCCATGTTGAGAACGTTCACTGTTAAACTGAGTCCACAGAGATGTTCTGTTAAATGGAAAAGGGTTGTTTGCCTCCTCAAACAGACGCTGCATCAGCTGCGATGATTTCCGACAGAAAGCGAAAAAGCTCTCCACACTCATGTTCGGCACTCTAAATGTAAATGTGGCTTTTTAGGTTGAACAGCCTGCTCGTGCTCGTCATGTGCGTCGCCTTCACAGGATTCAGCGACGGTTTAGTGCTGTAACGAGACACATTTCCTCATAATTAAAACAAAAACTCAGGATTACATCATCAGTCATAGCAGCATAATCACTGCTGCATATGGTGCAATTATTTATATCAATTTTTTATGTTTTCGTTCATCTCCTGTTTCTCTATACTTTCATATTCAACACTGAAATGTTGACTTTTAAAGAAGGACGTTGGAGATATTCTATATTTTTTCACTTTCAACAAATCCCATAAAAGACCAAAAATAATGTGAAAAAGTACAAGAAACTGCCTCATGATTGGTCGAGCGCATGTATTGGGGAGACTTGGATACTCAGCTCCACTCCACGATCACTACGATAAGATGGCAGCACGCGTATCCGAGATATTTTAGCCTAATTTTTTTACCCTGGGAAGAAGAGGAGACATGTACTTCATCTTTATATTGTACAAATGGTTAAACGAGGCAGTGCCTCAATTACTTTTTTAAAATACAATGTGCAGATGACATTTTCCAAATTTTTGTGGGAATAAAAATTGCAGTAAATTTTTCAGTTGAGATGAGAAGTGAAAATGAAATCGTGATGCAACAAGCTGCATCACTTGAATAAGATTTGTGAGAATCTGATCTGAACCGAGATGTTGTGGTAGTCAAACATTAAAAATGAACATGAGCAAACAAAGGAACTGCTGGTTTGACAAACACGACCGTGAGTCACAGTCCATCCCCGGATCTTACTGTGTGGGATGAAATCAAAACTTGTGATTAAAACAACTCACTATGTCAATTCTGTTTGGGAAGAAGTGAGAAAGTAAAATGTAGCTTAAGAGAGAGAAAAGACACAATATCAGTTCAAACAACCTGATTTTCTAAGTGATATCTGGGCCAAAGAGAAGTTGCAGTTGATACACGATGAATGTTTAATGATCCCAGTGTGAAATCATCAAAAAAATGCAGAATCCAGCAGGAAAAAGGGGAGAACGAGCAAACAAACAAGATTATAAAGAAGCAAAAGGATTCACTCGCCTTATTATTGCTATTAAGTGTTTTCTAAACCTCATCCTTCTGCTTTTACGTCTGTCTTCTGCTGCTGTGTCTGCAGTTCCCTATGATCAACGAGTTCGGGGAGGACACCAACTCCTACTGCTCGTTTGAGAGCAAGGAGACGGCGCTGCTGCACTCGGAGAATGGCAACCTGCAGCAGAGGGTCAACGTCCTGACCCACGAGGTAAGAGGACGGGTGAGGACAACAGGAAGAGACAGGGAGGAGGAGATGTGAGAGATTTGTGCAGAAATCCCCTCCTTGCATGAGAATGAATTGAATTAGAAGTGAATCGAGGCCACGGTGAGCATGTGCCGAAAGACACCCGGAGCTAATTAAGCACTAAAGCTGCTGTCCGAGCAAAAATTACGGAGATTGGTTGTTTTTGAGGAACCGTCCAAGGAGCGATGGATGTGACATGGGAATTTTACACTGGCATTCTATTTTTGAGACGCGGTATAATTGGGACTAAACCCGTCCAGGATTTCGCTGAATGGTTGCACCTTATGAGAGGAAAAACATAAAGATGCATCCTGCAGGGTATGTTGGAGTCACGTTTTATTTAACACATATAGAGCATGTGTTAAAAGATAAAAACAAGATGTGTGCATGTGACACAGGTTCAGACAGACAACAAAGAGTCAGACTACTGTACTGTAGAGAGCGAGGAGAGTGGCAGTGCCCGTGATGTGCTCGAGACGACTTATTTCCCCTCAGTTGTAACTCCACTATTTCCACAACAAGAGGGAAATAGAAATAAGAAACACAAGAAGGTGTCGATGAAATTGGTAGAGAGAGTTAGAGAGCAAAGAGGAGGAAGGAAATGCATTCTGGGAGCAGCAGAAACGATTAGTGTGGGACACACAAGGTCACATGGCTCCGACATCGGCTGTTCAGAGTGAGGAAATGTGCCACGGCTCACTGAGCATGCTCTACTGGGACACACACACACACACACACACACACACACACACAAGTGACTTGCACTTACTAAGAAGCACCAAAGAATCCTGACATATTTCCCATAATTCAGAGGAATCATATCGTCAAAAACATCTTTCCCTGATTTTAAAATTCTGAGTAATTTGCAAATGTGCAACTATTGCTCTCGTGCTGTCTGAATAATACAACAAGCAAACAGGCTGCAAAAATATTTTGTTTGTCAATGATGATTCACTTCACAATGTACTAGGCCAAAATTCTGGAGATACCTTTTGTGTATATTCGTAGAAAGCTATGTAGCTGTATCTTAATCCGTCTGCGTAATCAGATCTGTTTGTTTGTGTTTAAATATTAAAATCAGGCGTAGATGGATATTGAAGATAATATTTTTACCATCCAAGGTAGACTCACCACAAGCTACGAGGATGTGAAACTGTGGAAGCCACAAGTCTGTATCACGTCAACTGCGTTTTAGCAAAAACGTGTTTCATTCAGAGAGAAGCTCCGGACGTAAACTCCGTTATTAATGATTTCCTGAGATGTCAATGGAGAAAATAAATGAGAATTTTACAAACGGAACCAGAGACGCTGTGTTTTGACTGATGACATTCAGCATTCAGTTACACAACTCTACACACACACAACTGACCCTGTTGCAAAAGTTGCAAGAGCGCCATAGACGAGATCCATCTTTCCCACCGACCTGTATCCTCATCTCCTGGGGTGCGTCACTGCCCTGACACGTGTCAGGTAGTCTGTGATTATGGCTTCCAGTGATATTCACCCCTGTTATTATGCCACAGAGTGCGGAGAAGAGCTCAGCAGGACATCAGGAAAGTCGTTTATTAACATGGTGTTGAACATCATCATTTGTGGAGATGAGGGAGGCATTGCTGTCCACGCTGAGGTGTCTGGATTTTCTTGTCCTACATTTGCGTCGTTACACAACAGTACAACAAGTTTTCCTTTTTTCCCCTTCGATCATTTTGAAATCGTTTTTCTGACTCTCTGCTTCTCTGTGTCTTGTCTTCAGCTCCAGAAGAGGAAGGAGAGGGAGGAGCAGCTGGAGGATGTGATCCAGGCCTACGAGAAGATCCACATGGAGAAGAGCAACCTCCAGAGGGACCTCGACAAGATGGTCTGAGTTATTCAGTTCACTGTGCCGTGCAATCGTTATCTCACAGCAGCGGCTTCACACAGGAGCCACAGGACTGCAGGAGTTCATTCTTACAGGAGATGAGGAATGAATATAATATGCAAAACATGGTTTCAAATCATCAATAGTTAATGAACAGATTGAATATTTAGGGTCAAATTATCAAGTTTGGTCAAAAGTATCTGGACACCACTGGAGGTGATTTTAACCATTTTCTCTGGGGTCGTTTCGGTGATTTGGTTCAGGCTGCAAATAAAAACAAACAGACTCTAGGGGCCTTGTTGTGTAAGATTCATACTAAAAATCCAAAATGCTGTAAACATATATATAATACAAAAAAAACAAGATGGCTCTGGACAAAATATCAAACTGGAGGCTTCAAAACAGCTGCTCACAAACCAATGTGTGACGGGGGGTTCAGACCCTGAGCTCCACTTAAAATAAATAAAATGTGAATCCCCTCGTATGTAATAATTCAGTTGGTGTGATGGTGACACTGCTGTAGGGTGAGATCATAATTAAACAATGTAACTGGAATGCTAACGAGGAGTTCACTCATGTATTTGACTGTAAATTGGGTTTAAAGTGATATTTGCATTTGTTTTGTCTCTTCTGACGTTAATCTCACAACCTGATAGTAAAAGCAACTGAAACAGACACTTCTCAAAACTCGGTTGAGCACTTTAGATGACACTGCTCATTTCAAAGTATTCACCTTCAGGGGAAACTTTTTTCATTATGTCTCACTCCGAGTGAACCGTCCTTTAGGGAGAAGAGTCGCTGTTGAGTCTTTTATTTTACCCAAGAGAGCAAACTGGAAATCTTGCCCCAAAAATCATTTCTTACATAGATTTAATTTCATAAAACATTTGTCGAGTTACCTTTTCCCGACATGTTACTAAAATTAAATTTTCCTTTGATAAATCAAAGCCAATCGAGACCAGGTAGCAGCTTCCAACTGAACAGATTGTCTGGCTGCTCTGTGATAATAAACCATCTCATAAGAGACTGAAGTCCACCGAGCAGCCTCAGCAGTTTTATGTGGTCGGAGTGATTTAGAGGCGATGTGCGCCAACAGTGACGGAGCTGCCAACAACTGACCCAAAGCTGTGGCAGCCACAGTTAATACCACTCCATCGACCTAGTGGGCCTCATTGACCTTTAACCTTTCAGCAGTGCAGCCACTCGCTCAATATATACACAATAAATTATGTAATTAAAACCAATTATATTTCTGGCATCAACTGATCAGATGATGAACTTGGCTTAAAGATACCAGCTCGGTGTTCTGTTGTGATACCATGAGATGTTTTTATGCTCAAAGATTCACATGTGACGGTGGTTTGATATCTCTCGTTAGTTTTCTCTGGAAAATTAATTACACTCTTGATGTTGTTGTTGTAGATTAAGGTCACGATATTTTCAGTTTTCTGATAAACTGATTAAAATGAAATTTCTTCTTTTAAATTTCAGCTCTTTGATATCAGGACATTCAAAGAGATGAGTGTAGATATTTAGCAGCCTCTCGTTCTCAGGTGCAGCGTTACAGTTCTCCATCTCAGCTTTAACACGCTGTGTGTCGAAGGCTGTAAATGTTAAAGAACGTATTTGAACCTCTGTCAGTAACTGAATACTTGCAACCTGGGTTTCATACTATTGAAAATGTGTGATTGCAGACGAGCCTGGTGGAGAAACACGTGGAGCGAATCCTGAACCTGGAGTCAGTTCTGAGGCAGAGAGACAACTCGATGCAGAAACTCAACATGCAGCTGCACAGCAAAGACATGCAGTACCTGCAGCTGCACGCCGGCCCAGACGCACACTGTGAGTCACCCACACAGAGATATGAGATTATCAGCAGGTGAAAAACGGTCCCATACAAACACTGGTGCACTGGATGTTAGAAAAATATTATTCCGATAATCACTGCAAAGTAAGATAAGTACAGCAAGTTAAGATGTTTATGTACGGACTGTTAATCATCTCTTCTCCATGACTCATGGACTAATTAATCAAATTCAACAATCTGTCCGCAAAGTGCTTAAACTGAGGTCAGGTCAGTCCTCGGCCTGTTGCACATTTCCTTCCAACTCCTCGGTCACAGTTGCAGAAGAAGAAGAAGAAGAAGAAAAGAAGAAGAAGAGACCTGTGATCTGAGCGGCTGATTCACTCGTCCTGGTCTCAAATCATCAGGACTGTGGCGCCGTAGCTTCTAAGGGTTTGACTGAACTGTGTTATTCAGCCTGTTGCTTCCATCTGCAGCGACTCATCTTCATCGTGACGGCTCTCTATTACCAACTGTGGGAAAAACCTGCCAGATAATTTGACTTATTAGCATGCAAATTAGTTCCAGTGTCAGAAACGGATGAAGTTGCTTCAAACATCCTCTGTAGTCGTGATTTTACAAAAAAAGCATGAGAATGAAATCCTAAAACAATCGCTGGGGATTTTGGATGATGAAGCCAAACAGTGACATCTACTCAGCAGGTTCCCTCATTTCCAGCCCTAGAATTCATGATTAAATACGCAGCGTAGAGGAGATTCTCTCAGGCGTTAGCTGTTCCAGAGTCACTAGATGCTAAACTTCGCTGCTCTCTCCGTTGATGTGGGAGGCTGATGAGAACATGGAAGAAATGTGTCTCTGCCACCTGGAGAGACGCAGCAGTGACGGCGTACCTCCATATCTTGTAGTGCAGCCCGTGCACAGCATGTGACTGAGTGTGCTGGTGAGGAGGCAGGAGGAGCAGGGAGAGAAAGGATGATACTGCTGCTCAGTTACATTGTCTTCTGGCTCAAGGACTGAGTCTGTGTGAGCGGAGCTGAATCACTCGCATGCCCACGCAGATCACATCACCCAGGTACAAACTGAAAGAACCCGCCCTTGGAAGAAGTCAGCTCTTTATGCTCTTTCACACTCATCTATTGAACGTATTGTACAACAAGCGAGGACGGAGGAGCACTGCGGGAAAAGCAATATAAAAAATACAAAACATGGAGTTGCCTTCACATGTTTTCCTCTCTCTCTCTCTCTCTCTCTCTCTTCTCTCTCCACCCAGTGCTGGACTGTCCCGCCCTGACCCTCCAGAGCTCCCGCAGCCTGGACGCCCTGTCCGACCTGAAGCTGCAGCGGCTGGAGGCCGAGCTGGAGGGGGCGCGGCACGAGGCCCAGGGGGCTTGTCAGCGGGAAGAGGAGCTGAAGGCGGAGTGCGAGAGGCTGAAGGAGGAGATGAGACAGCTCCAGAACAGCCAGAGGGAGAGGGTCGGTGTTTGCTCTCGTCTGTTTGGGGGGAGTTTCACTGCGTCACGACAATTTTAGTGGCAAAGACAAAGAAAGAACACAACCCCAAAACTTTCATGTGACACGTCCCCTGAAGTATGAAATGTCACATTTAGGCTTTTTGAATACTGGGTTTTAGTTGTAAAAAAAAAGATTTTTAAAAATGTGATAATTTATTGTTGGTTTGTGACCAGACATGAAGTCAAACACACCTCGCTTCCAACATACGGTATAAATTGCACACGGCTTCCTCCACTGGCACTAGACAAAAATCGCAGGCACATCATCGTCGAGAATGTATTCTTAGGGCTGATGTACGCCGACTCACTGCAGCGGTCATCGTGTCACAAAACACACATATGTCGGAACAAGGTTTCTCTCTTGTGGGTAACAAAATATTGATGTTGCAGCTGTAGGGCCGCAGGGGAACATAAACACAAACACAGCATTGTCAGAGTGTGAATCTTCCCACGACGTCAAACTGTCCAAACTCCGGTTTAATCTGCAGCTACATGAAACTTTTCCTTGAATTATTCACGCAGCTGAATTGCTGCCACTCTGTGCCACATGCAGACATCGCATTAGTCAGGAAACAGACAAATCTGGAGCAAACCGAAAATACTGCACTGCGGTATATTTTTCCTAGATTTATATGGGTCATATTGAGATTTGACCTCCGAAATCAAATCAGGTCATTTTTGTGTCCAAAAGAACATTTGTACCTAACGTGAAAGGATTCCCTCAAGGAATTCTTGAGATATCGTATTCACAAGGCAAAACGTGTGCTTTGTGAAGTCACAGCGACCTTTAACCTTTAACCTGTGATCACCAAATTCACATCAGTTCATCCATGAGTGGAACTGAATGTTTCCACTAAATTTGAAGAAATTCCCTCAAGGCGTTCTTGAGATATCGCTTCACAAGAATGGGACGGACGGACAACCCAAAAACAAAATGTCTGCGGCCTGGAGCTAACAACGTTACTCTCAATACAAGTACACACATTAGCCTTAAAAGTACAACCTCTCCACAGGTTCACACACACACACACACACACACACACACACACACACACACACACAACAATCAGACAGTGTCCGAATAATAATTAACACCGATCCAAACATGCACCACCTCACGCAGCTTTTTCTGACGCAATACTTTCAACGTGTTTTCTCGACGGGCTCTCGCCGTCAGATTTAGCCCAATATTCCGCCTGCACCTGCATGCTAATCTAATTTCACGCTCTACTTCGACAGGAAATGACTTCGCCGTGCAAGCAGTGTGATGTGGAGTGGATAAAGAAGGTGGGAGACGAGCAGTAAGTGACCACAGCCATCATCATCTACAGCAACGACGGAGGACAGAGAGATTGAAATGAAAGATGTTCTACCAGGGGCCGCTGCTCAGTTACATATCTAGATGAGCTCCTGCCGACCTCCAGGGGCCTCATTAGAGAGGCGTGGAGGATAACAGGGTTCAAACGCAGCGTTAACAAAGGAGGATTATAGATCTGACTCAAAGCTGCATTTACTGTATGTTCTGCTGCACGTTCAACTGCAGCACCAGTGTTCCTGCAAAGCTGCTATCAGACGTGACCAACGGGTAAAATCCAGAGAACCCAGAGTTTGTTTGTCACACATGCACAACCCAGCAGGAGGTCTTCTGCACAGACAGGGAGATATTCTCTCTTTGTCCTTTTTCATTGTTTTCTGTTTGCATGATTCCTACAGGCTTTATGCTGGGAGGCATCTCACTCGGACATTTGCGTTCACATATGCACCTCCTCCGGATAAATACGGAGGAACTGCGGAATTGAGTAAATTCCTGAAATCAGCTTATGCAACACTTGCTCCAGGAGCTTTGGTAGAAATGAGTGTGAGCAGCAGGGGGCAGTGTAAGCACAGAGTAGGACAGCTTCCTGTCCACTCCCTCATGTCTGGGTATTTGTTGGACGTCTCTTTGAGGCCGAGCTCATATCCCTGTGCATTTTCATCCCCTGCACCAGAAACCTGCCAAACGAGAGCGAGTCCTCGAGCCGCCTCCGCTTCAGCCAACAATTCAAACAACTCCCAGCTCATTTCCAGAACCCTCCTGAAACTGGCTCAGGTGCTGCACGAAGTGTTTGATCGCAGGTAGAAGAGAGAAATAGAAGTAAAAACCACAGCAAGTTGGGCAGATGACTCACGCACAGTGAAACCCCACAAATGTTTCAATGCAACTGAAAGTAAGTTTTCAGTGAGGTTTTTTCCAGACCTCTGCCACCTTTTGGTTTTACTCAACAATATCACTCACACCCACAGAAAACCTACGATGCCTCAACTTTGTTTCCTGCTGCTTTTTCTTGTAATTGGGTTCATTTAATGTAAACTGCACAGATTGATAACCTTGATTAACTTGTATCAGCTGCAGCAGCAGCACTTCATCATAATCTGGAGGAGATTCTGTTTTGGTTAGTGGGTTTGAACATTCTCCATCGTGTCCAATAGTTTAAAAGTCTAAAAATCGAATCCGGAAATGCAAAAAAATTTAATTTTATCCTCCATTTGCTTCGGTCTTGGTCGACTCTGTTTCTCTCTTCTGCTCTTCCCATTACGTTTGCAAAAGAAGCCAATTTAGACTTCACTTCAGTTTCCCCCTCACCCCGCAGACGCTGGCAAACACCGGGCGACTGACTAACCCCTCTTCAGCTTTCAGAAAGCTAGAGCTGTTTCCAATAAATCACAACCTTTTTTTTTAAAAATGAAGTGGAATTCCCATTTCTAGTTTGAAATTCAAAAAAATGCTGCTGCATTTCTGGAAAATTCCAACCCTGACTTCTGAACAACTTTTCAGAAATACATTATTCACTGCAGCCCTCAACACCTTGCTGTGGCCTGGTGTGACGACTGTTTGACACGTCTGTGTTCAAAGTGCTTAATGCACTGAGCAGAAAAAGAGACAGAGGAGGACAAAGAATTGCAGAGTGTGAAAAGCTCCCACTTGAGATGTGACGGCTGTTGAACACACATCCTGTGTCAGGCCACATGCGGGTCAGAATAAAGACCAGAATTCACTTTGTTTAATATCAGGCCTTTTCCAGAAAACCATGCTGAGGCATGTTTATGAGAATATATATCGCTGACTACTGTGCATTCAAGTGTTTCCCTGGAGGCCGGTGTCCTTAACGTGTGTGACTGAGCTCCTGCAGATTTGAAAAAGAACATTTATTATAGCTGCGAGTGTTCGGCAACAAAGAGGAGCTCAGATCTCACAGGCAGCTGCAGCGACGGCTCAGATCAGAGGTCACATTTCAGCCCACACTTCATCTCCCACACACAAACACACACACACACACACACACATATATACACACTGCATCTTGATCAGTTCACTCACAAGTCTTTTCATCAGTGCTGCACCGGCATCATCACACTCCTCCTACGCACTGTAATATACATTGTACAGTATGTACAGTTGTGTTGGAAATAATAGCAGTGTGTTTAAAAAAGTGAGTCAAGCTCGAAATCCTTATAATAGCTTTTATTTCCATACATGTAGAATGCATCGGGAACGCTGCACATTCTGTTCCAAATCAAAACATGAAGAAAAGTTTCTTATCACTTTACAGAAAGCGAAGAAAAGTGAATTTTCTTTACAAACTCAAACATTGACTGTACAAACTGAAGCGTCCCTGTGAATCACTGAACTCATATTTAGTTGTATAACCAGTGTTTCTGAGATCTGCTTCACATCTGCGTTACGTGGAGTCGACCAACTTCAGATGTTCCTGCCCAAGTTTTCTATCTTAACGATAGCTTGGTTTCACACGGTCTTCTAACTGTTACAGGACTCACAGGTAACTTGAGATCTTCTCTGATCATCCTGGAGCTGATCGTTGGCTGAGTCTTTTTGGATATTCTTCGATCCATTCGATTGGTAGTTTTCAGTTTTCTTCCACGTCTTTCTGGTTTTCGTCGCGATTTTAAAGCATTTGAGATCATTTTAGCTGAGCAGCGTCATTTTCTGCACTTCTTCTCTGCTCTTCTGAACAAAGTCTGAACGACCCAGAGAGAGAAATGCACTTTAACCGGCTTGAACAACATTTGCTGCCTTCGTCCTCAAATTAATGACCTCACTAGTTGAACTCCCCACTGCTATTATTTTGAACACGCCCCTTTCAATTAATGATTCAATTACACAGAATCCGCAGAATGCAGTCATGACTGTTGGGTCTGTTGGTTTTCTATTACTCTACTACACCTACTAGTAATTTACCACAGTGATTGATCTGGTTAGTGATGTTGGACTGCTATTTATTTTAATATTCACGAGCAGGAAACAGACTAAAGCAAATGACACAACAGGCGAGATCAAAACAAACCAGGGACCTCGTTTCACAGATTGAAAAACTGTGTGTAAAGTTCGTCCTGGAGTGCAGACGTTCACACGTCAGGTTTACAACACGGGACCGAGAGCCAGAGGTGTCCCCGGCTCTGAAAACACGCTGTCGTAGAAATTGAAAAGCGACACAGTGTGAAAAGGAAGAGGAGCCTGAGTGTAAACCTTCAAGAGATTCAGCTCAGATCTGCAATCAGAAAGAAAGACGAGGTGCAGAGTGTCAGCGAGTGGCGAGGGAAGGAAGCAGATGGATCATTTTAATTTTTGTGATGACAATATTACTATGCTCCTCCACCCACCATGCCAGTAAGTTACCCTCATGACTGCTAATTTCTTTCAACATGTTATCAGGAGGTTTTTTATCCAAAGCCACACACAGGGACTGAGTGTGTCCTCTGCAAAAAGCTGACCCTGAATCATTTCCATGTCGTTACCAGGTTTCAGCAACTTAAACCACAACAGGAGGAGGTTGTCGGTTATACGGTGGGGGGGGGGGTTTGATACCCCCACTCTGTCTGAGTCATCACAAGGTGGTGGAAAACAAGGTGGGACAGTTACAAAAGACCAGTGGAAGTTATGACTTATGAAGAGTTTATATGAAATTGTGAGCTTCAGAGAAACAGGGTCCCTGTGACATCGAGCTCAAAGGTTTTGGGGATAAAACTGATTTTTGAATTGTTCCGTTAGAAGAATACGTTTGGTTCAGAGTGGATTTTTCTTAGCAGATATGATGTTTAATGTGAAAATAGAAGCTGGAGAGAGAGAAAAAAAATCATTTGTGCAAAAATGTGCATTGATCCAAAGCAGCACACACACACACACACACACACACAGGAAAACTCATTTAAATGAGTGTGTGGGTGAGCAGGGGAACATGTTTTCTAATTTTACACTCTTATTTGCTCTGTAGGCAGGATATTCTTCTCTGCTTTCTTTTAATTCTTTTTTTTCAGTGTCAGTCTCAGTTAACATATATTCCTGCTTGTGCAGAAATGTGTGTGTGTTTTTTATAAATCTACCACAATCTTTACACGATCGGAGCCGCTTTATCAACCGTCTGGCTCTCGTGCACATCAACTTCCTCTTTCAGCTGAGTCTTTCTCTTCATGGTGAAGTTTCTGTTCATTTGCTCTCAGACAATGTTTTATGTTTTCAAACTTTCTAGATGGTTTGATAAAAACACTTGTTTTGCCGTCATCCACTTGTGTTGATATAAGAAATTACTGAGAAAAACTGATTATCTCAACAGATTCTGAATAGGATTTTCAAGGTGTCACATCTCATAAAACAACATCCTGGTCTACCACCATCTGTGCTGGCGTGAGTCAATTTCAGGTCAAGACTGAGGAGTTTATAAAAAAGTGGTTAGATGTTTGAGATAAATCGTCCATTTTCAGATTTTGAGGTCACAGTTGGTTCTTTCTATTTGAGCAAAAGCTGCTTTCACCTACGTACAGTGAACACCAGGCGTCATCCCATCATGCAGCTGTGCGCGTTTGTCTTCGTGTGCAGTGCTGGACTCACGTTCATTTGTGAGATTCAGATCAGTTTTAAAGCTGAAGAACCAAATCAGCCCGTCGCCATGGTGAGACGACACAGAACCGTCCTTGTTTACGGTTCTTGAAATAGAGTTGCTCCATCAGAACGGCCCCTGAGAGAGTCATGACACATCTCGCATGAAGTGGTGTGATTTTATGCACCTCCATTATGCGCCGTGACTCTAAAAATAAAAGCCTTTAAGCCTCTTAATTAGCCCGTCTGGTTGGTGAGGCTGTGTTAGCGCCGCACAGTCCAATCAAAGAGGAGATCTTCTGCTGCAGTTTATCAAAAAATTGAAAAACCCTCTGATCAACTTAACTATAACATGATAATGGTTTTAATGATTTAACAGAGGTTGCACTGTTTAGCATAATCAGTTGCAATGTATTAACACACACACTCCATAATGACGGTGATTATGATAATTGCATCTGTCCTCCTCCAGGGTGAATCTGGCTCTGGCCTACACAGAGTTGACGGAGGAGCTGGGACGCCTCCAGGCTCTGAGCTCCAAGCAGACGGAGATTCTGAGGAAAGCATCACAGGAGCAGGCGAGTCCAGGTTAGCATCCACGCTGTCAATCACTGTCAGTATCACTATCCTCTGGTGGTGAAGGGGGAAATACTTCATCACAAGTAAAAGTCTGGCCTCCACATGGGTACTTACTTAATAAAGAGGCTAAATGTACTTTGTTCATGTAATTGTAATGTGTAGTAAATATCAAAAGTTGAATTTTTCAAAGCAAGAAGAAGATCCATTGAGATGATCGAGTAAAAGCAAATTGTAACCCTTCTATATTCTGTTGAACCAAAATATTCTTTATCAAAAAAAACGAGAAAATAAGAAAAATATCACAAATGAACTAGTTACAGTCTCCTTTTAAATTAGGATTAAGGAAACTACACTAAGTAAGTAAATAATGGTCGATGCCAAAGCCCTAACGAGAATTTTTGTTCATATTTTACAGTTTAACCATAAACTATTGTGAATAAAT